TCAGGAAAGAGATTGTGATAAATTTCGAGGATCGAATCCCTGGAACGTGGTTTCCGGCGACGATCTGCCCGCGGTGCCGTTTTCCCTCGCATTTCTTCATCCTCTGCGATCCACATTCAGCGCCACACCATTATAGAATACGCAACGCTAGCGACTACCGCAAAGTATCTCCCATTCAGCTCGACAAACCCAAGCATAGATGATACAATATTATACCATAAAGTGTCTCCGAAGCTATAACTATACACGTGCACGTTACAGAGGAATCGTTTCGAGGTCGTTGTGGATTGCAGGGGGCCGCCATAGTTGGCTCTGCCTGCGGAGAGTTCATTCGAGTTGGGAGCATCAGGCAGAATCGAGCGTTTGATAGGCTGTTGCACATCGAGTGGCGGACTATTTGATCTTTTGTTTTTAAACATTTAGATGAACTTTTCTTTGTAAGCGTTTTAATTTTTAGAATAACGGTTTTAATAATAAACGGTCTCCGGTGGAAGCCGTACAGCTTAATTTGCGATTTACGTTTTCAATTATCAAGCTGAGAAACGGATAGATAAGACGAGCGAATTTAACTTTCGCGAAACCGTTCGATCTTATTATCCGCGGTTAATCGTGTTTCTAGAGAAGAAAGAATGAGATTTCGATCGATTGAATTGCGAATTTTCGAGTAATCGAATGAAAGATTTCAATGAATTGTAAATTACGTGAAATTTTCAAGTAATTATTGTTCGTTAAAGGACGTCTGCCAGCAAGTGTTTCAATTAGCAGAAGTTAAGATTTTGCGTGCAGCAGTTCTATGGTTGTCGACGGATCATGGAAATGATAATTTATGCATATTATCGAAACCGAGATCTTAATGAAATTTTCATTACTTTTATGTCTTAATTAATCTCTCGATAGACGAAATAAATGTTTCCATCGACTCCGACTATTTCAAAGAGATCGTCCGTGTGAGTGTCCGTTTCGCTGATTGGTCGAGCGACAGTCCAATCGTGTGACGTTGCATTACGATCGATCGAACAGACGGATATCGGCGAACAATGGAAACGAAAGGGTTGGCATATTCGCTGAATATCATACGCGCATCATATCGAACTTGCGCTTTTCGATTGTTACCTGCGATTTTGGTCAATTCCTTGAGGTAGCTGTTAAACTAGTAATAGAGATCTACATATCGATGCTTGCGCCCATTGATTTAGTAGGATCTAGAGTGTTTCGCGTGATCGTGACGTTGCTCAGTCTTCTGCGAAAGATGCCAGTATCACAAAGACGCAAACGTTATCCTTCTTATCGAATGAAAAATCCGGGCAAAAAACTTCCGCCGATCAAAAAGAAGGAACAGTAATTAAAATGAATTTCGAACTACTTAATCCCCATTTTGTCGAACTAATCGCATCAGTTTTGTCAGACTTACGATCGATGATTCAAATTGTCCATTAAACTTGATTAAATTCAATCCAACGATTTCGAAAAACAAATCGATTCGAGAATTCAATTTAACACGCCCCATCGATTCTACCGCAAAACCTCAAATCGAAAGGTACCGATCGAATTGTACGAAAAAAACATCGGAAACAATCAACCGCAATGAATGGATCGTTAATCATCGAGCAAATTGCGCTTAGACGGTATTTATTCGGCACGATCAAGAACATTCCGATTAGAATGATCGATATTAAGACCTTAACGAGGCCTGCAGGCTTTGTTCGCAAGTGACTTTTTTTTTCTCAAACACTCTCGAGAAATCGTTCGAGAATCAGGCGGCCGATGATTTATCGATGACCGAGCACCACCGATCAGCAATGTTCTGCGATCGCCGAGAAGGTTTTCGTCATTTAATATTATGATCGT